CGTGGATTAATTCCTTTCCGCCGACGAGAGCGTTCGCGACCAGAACCGACAGGGCATCTGTTACCATCCTCGTGTTGCTGTAATAACGTGCAACCGAGTTGGGCGTCGGGTGCATCCGTGTCGAGGGAACACGGTAGTCCCAGCCGCGGTAGTTGCAATACCGGCGGGGAAATCAGGCAAGTCTTCAGATCTTCGAAGGCAGACCTGCGGTCTTCGTCCAGTTCGGGGAGCCGATCGGGCTCTCCCTTCTTAAGTATGGACGTTAATAGCGCCGCAATCTTGGCGAAGTGGTCGACGAAACGTCGGTACCCGTTACACATACCCAGAAACGAGCGAAGCTCGGTCTGGGTTCGTGGCGGCTTGGCCTCGGCTAGAGCCGAGACATTCTTCCGGTGGACATGAAGTTCCCCGGGTCGAATGATGTGACCCAGGTACTTCACGGAGTCCTGAAAGAATTTGCACTTGTTCAATTTCAGTGATAACCCCTCTTGTTGTAACGCAGAGAGAATAACCTTGACATCCTTGAGGTGAGTTTCATAATCCTTCGAGAATATGATAATGTCATCTAGATAGATGAGGCAGCTCGTCCATCGGTATCCGGAGAGGAGAATGTCCAGCATCTGTTGGAATGTGGCGGGCGCGTTCATTAGCCCGAACAGCATTCGGTTAAATTGATAAGTACCGGCATGACACGTGAACGTGGTTTTCGGAAGGTCATCTTCTGCATTGGGGATTTGCCAAATAACCCGAGTTACAATCTAGAGTTGTGAACACGTTCGCTTCGCCGAGCGAGTCCAGGCACTCGTCCATCCGAGGAATCGGGTAAGTGCCCCGTACTGTCATCGCGTTCAAACGTCTGTAATCGACGCAAAAACGGAGGGATCCATCCGGTTTGGGGATGAGGACCACCGGAGACGCCCACTCTGATTGTGATCGGGAGATGACCCCGCTTGAGATCATCTCATCTACGGCGTCTTGTTCGGCTTGTCGAGACCGTGGTCCAGCCCGATATGGCTAACATCGAAACGGCTTCGAGCCGCGGTTGAGTTCGATCCGGTGCTGCGTAGCCCGGACTTCCCCGAGGTCGCCACTCCACATACGGGAGTACGGCGTAAGCATGTCACGTACGCGAGTGCGGACGTGCGACGGCAGATTTTGGAGGGAGACAGCGTCAACCTCTTGGGGTTCTTCCTTCGACGAAGCCTGGAGGAGCTTCTCCCCCTTATCAGATTGGGGCTTGTCCCCTTCTCTAAATTCCGCTGCTAGGAGGGCGTCGAGAGGCATCGCGGTGCGTATCATGGCACGCGGATGAGGGGTAACGTACCCCAGCACCTGGTTCTTCGAGAGGCGCTTGGGGACGGAGGCGAAGTTGGCTACCGAGACCTTGAACTCTCGAAGTGCGGTGATGTGCGCGACCCCATTCGACAGGGAGACGCGGTGTTTCGCATATAGCTGCGGGTTGGGTTCCAGTACGGAAAGACCCGTACGACCGTTGGTCACATGCACCCAGACTTGCGTCCCGGGTTGTATGATAACCGGACGAGAAACCTTGAGTTTGGGGAAAACTCGACCCGGGTCGTTTTCATACTCCTGCTCCAAGGGAAGCGGAGGTGCTTCGGCTCGACGAGTTGCCGGTTTTCTCACGATGGGGACTTTCGTCCCATCATCGAGCTCAACCACCTTCCGACGTGGATAGATGGCCTCGACAAACTTGTCGTTAAAGTCACAGCCCAGGATGACGGGGGCTGCCAGACGCTCGCACACGATGAACTTGCATTTTATGGTGCGAGTTGCTAGTAGAACAACGAGGGTGATGGACCCGCTCGTTCGTAACGGCCGCCCGTTCGCGTTGGCGATAGTCGGGACTTCCCCCGGTTCGATTAAGCTCTCCCATCCTTTGGGCAGGGTTTCGGCGCGGACAAAATTGGAGCCGGCACCCGTGTCCAGATGGTGAGTTGACGCACCATGATGGAGGAGGTGAGCCCAAGGTCGGCGTTGACCTTGTAATTACGTCGAGACAGTGTACAAACTGGCTCGACGGCCTTGTCATCGGGGGAGCCCCTCCCGTCGGTCAGCAGTATTATGAAACTTGCTCTCAGATTGACCGCCACAACAGGTCGACCGTCGGCGGAGCGTCCACATGCCCGTCGGATCGGGGTTGGAGGGACTCGCTTGGCGAGCGTGTTTCCGTCCCAAGACGCGGATCGCCGGCTTCGGGGGCGGAGGTGACGCGGTATCCCGCAATGGAATGTCAGCGATTTTCAGCTGTGGGTCTCTTAGTTTTTCGGCGGTGCGGTCTTGCCGCTCGGGGGGCTTGACTTCTCCGAAGCGGAGGGAGAATTCGACGGCAAGACGGGTGCGATCAGCCGATTAGCCTGGAAACTGAGGAGGGCTACGGCGCGCAAGTACGCGTCTGCCGGAACACGGGCCTTCTGTGCCGCCGTGAGCTTCTCAAAATTATGAGGGACGAGCGACACATCGCGCACATTCATGCTACAGTCGGGGTTAATATGATCGCCGACTTTGTATCATGTGTAGCAGATGATTTGCGAGGAAGATGTCTTCATGTCCGGGGTTCCCTCTCGACGGGCCCAACCGGGAGACTTCTCGCGCGGTCTCGGAAGCCGGGGCGGGTCCTTGTAGGTCGGCCGCCGCTCTCCGTAGAACAACGAATCCTTGTCGTTGAATGAGTATCCCTCGGTGGGAAATGACGGTGACCCAGCTGCGGCGGCGAATGGCTCGTCATTGGAGAGGAAGTTCTCGGCGTCCAGGCCGGTATGATAGCTCGGGGTCAGACCCGCGGTTGTCGATGAGGGCATACTGCCTGGCATCGCCAACACTTCCTTAGCGGCGGGTCTCGCGAAGTCAACGCGTCCTCTCGCCCCAGCCGTCTGCGCGCGGTAGGCCGCCCCTTGAGCGCGGGCTTCGGCCACCGTGTCCTCGAATGAGGATCCGGGCCGATTCTCCCTTGCTTGGAGCACCAACGGCTTGATCGCCGGAAGGAGGCCCTCTATGAACAAGGTAGTGCGTTCATAGGGGGAATGGATGTCCCCACACCGCGCGAGGGCGGTTAACATACGAGTCGCATACTCGGTCTCAACTTCGCCGCGTTTTTGGCGTAAATCCAGGATTACAGAGAGCGCTTGCTCGATCTGAATATTCGTAGCATACGTACGAAGCAACCAGTTCACTGCTGCTGGCCACGACGCAATCCCTTGATTGCGTCGGAAATATCCTCGATGGGATTCATATGCCTCCTTCGCCGGCGGGTTGAGGAGATGCGGCAAGGCCATGAGAGCCATTGCCTCCGACATTTCTGCGTTGTCGAAATTCTCCTTACATCTAGCCAGAAAGCTGATGACTTTGATCGGGTCGGAGCCGTTAAACTTGTACTCTCCCATAGCGGCGAGGAGATATTGCACGCGCTTGCGCGTCGTGGCGTACACCTTTGCATCGACGGTGGGGTCGGTGTTCACGAGACGGTAAGCTCGATAATTACACGCGCCTCGGAAGCGGTGTTTTGTCGGTTTCTACACCGTGACACCCTTCGCCCTAGAGCGGAAGGTCGGTTGTGGTACTGTGAAGGCCTCGGCTTCGGAGTCCGAATCAGAGTCGGATTCTGAAGCTGAGGGCGGGGATCCACCCGAGTAACCGGAGAAGTCCTCCTGGTCAGGTCGGCTTCCGTGGCCGGACTTGTGACGGCGGCCTTCGGTCTTGACCTTCTTGTCGCTGGACGATCTTGGCGACGGGCCTCGAGCTGCCGCTAGGTACGGAATAAGATTCCGTTGTCCCTCCATCGTCAGGCGATCGGGGAGCGGAATCCCGGCGGCCGTGAGAGCCGATTTGGTGACGTCGGCGAACAGTAGATTTTCGTCCAACGGTTGTAACGCATGTAACTGCGGGTTAGATCTTGGCTTCGACGCGGTCGACTCGTCTTGTCTAGCGGGGACGGGTCGTGTTTGCGCCGATTACAAGGCGAGGTTACGCCGACAGAGGTCGTTGACTTCCTGCGTCAGGCGATTTACTTCCTCCCGTAGAGGAAGGAGCGTCTTGTCGACGGTGGACCGGAAGTCCTTCTGCCACGCTCGAGTGAGAACGCCTTCTAGTGCGGAGAGGCGATCACGTCCCTGTTGGGACTGTACCTTCGCCTGAGCGGCGACCATACCAGCAACAAGGCTGTCCAACATCTCGCGTATCTTCGCAGTGTGCGAGTTGAGTTTCTCCTCGATTAAGTTGAGAGAGAACCTCTCGGCTTCACGGAGGCCTTCGGGGCGGTTCCGCGTGATCCACGCCGCGACGGGCGCTGGGACGTCTCTCGGACGAGTGTCATGGGACGACTCGGAGCTGGTCACCATGGCGAATACACCTACGGTCGGTGCGTGAGGGAAAGGCGCAGGGAGGAGAGATAGAAAGAAAAAGTGGGTCAGGGAAGAAAGAGGACACTCGGATGCACGAGAGTATCGACTGTTTCTAGGTCGGGAGACCAAAATGTCGTGCACTACAGCCACGTGTAGCGGCTGTAGGCAGGGCGACGTGCGTTCGTACGCGTAAGGGAATTCGGGAGACCACCCGGTGGATGACCGGAACCGGGATCCGGGCGCGGCTTGCGCGGTAGAAAAGTAGACTTAGAGTCAGCTATGAAGAGGAACAATTAAAGGAAAAACAGAACTAACAGAGCGGACAGCACAGTAGGTAAGGTAGCGCTCGCGCAGTTGGCCCGACGCGCGGGGAAGGCAGTTGGGATTCCAGGGGTGTAGCTGGCTCGGTCGGTATGGGCGAGCCAGTACCGAGTCGAGGCTACAACCTGGAATCCAGAAACCAAGGTAAAAGACCCGGGGCTTCGTGCCTCTTTACTTTGATGATCGGGTTGACTATATAGTCCCCCGTCGCCGTAATGGCGAAGCTAAATTATACTGTAAATTAGAATAACTAGGAAATAACGGGTGTAGCCCCGAGGGGACCAAGTACAGCCCCCATAGGCCCTATGGGTGGCGGAGGGATTACACGTGTCCACCGGGAGGTCCGGTAGAGCGGCAGGGGAGTCCACGTGTACCCGTGGTACACGTGGTGGTGGCGAGCGCGATTTCGACTTGACGTTCGGGATTATTGATAAAGTAGGGTGACAAGTAACCGCGGTCAAATTGCATACCTTCAACGACATCAAGCTCGTTTGCCAGTGATTTGCCGTCTTCTACTGTAATCACACCTGCTTTGCCGACCTTTTCCATCGCCTCAGAGATAAGGGTGCCGATTTCGGGGTCAGAGTTGGCTG